TACTTTGTTCCACTGATCTTTCAGCTATACAAAGTATTGGGTTACTTAACCATATCGGTGAAAACATTGCTTGCACGTTTGAATGCGACGGATGTGCAACACTGTTCCACATTGAAAAGTGAGATAGTTGGCTAAGTTTTAATGGCTGAACTGAGTTATATAAAGATCTGTTTTAATTGAGTTTATGTCCCTAGAAGATTATCCCATTTTTCCCATTATGCAGTCAGTTTAGAAATGCCTCTATGTATGATCTTTGTCCTGCCTATGTTTTGAAACAATTGCCACTACCTTAAACTACTCTTTTTTGACTATTTTATTTAAGATCGTGCTTCTTTCCAGTTTTGCCACTTTGTGTCCTTGCTGTTCTCATCCCAGTGCCAGCCCTGGGTGTAGCACCCTGCAGGGAAAGCTGCTGTGTGGTCCTGGGACTGGTCCCAGTGGCAGAGCCCCAACCCTTCATTGCTCAGGTGCCCTGGCATGGAGGGCAGGAGCCTTCAGCTGCCTCCACCAGCCAGAGCACAGGATCATAACCCAACTCCTTGACATGGGCACCTCTGCTCAGCTGAAGTTTAATAACAGTGCAAGCCCCGTGCTCCTCTCGAGCACAAGGAGCTCTGCTGTTAGCAAGAGCAAAGCGAAGCCGATGTACAACCGATTACTTTGAACAAGTCTCTGGGCTAGGTCAGCCTGGCGAAGAAATTCCTCGTACGGCTCTGCTGGCAAACTCCTCTACTGTAACTGTACCTTATACAAATAAAAAATGCTTTTGCCAATAAAGTTCATACTAGGTCCCCCAAAGCAACGGGTTGTTTTGACAGAAATGCCTTTAACACTAAGCCTTTTGCCAGTACACAAATGCTGTACACAAAATGACAAATTTAGAAGTCATGCAGAATGTTCTTATTTGAACTAAAGTTTCTGCTGCAGTCGCGGTTCAGTTTAAATGCTGATTTGAAAGATCACGCTTACGCTCCTTCTCCTTCAAATTTATCTTTTTTATCTTTGATTACTGTGGTTTATTGTTTGCTCTTCACCCAGACCTTACTATTGGCAACTGAGATGTCTGCTAGAAAACTTCCAGTTTAATTCAATGCTCAGAGCCACGCAGGATGCTGCTTTTAAAACCCAGCTCCATATAATTATTATAATCTCCGTGATACCCAGAGCTCAGCTCCCCCCCTCCCGTCAATAATTAGTGCGATTGCAGCTTAATACAATTTTCTTTTTTTTTTCCCTGAAGCAAATACAATCTTTTTAGATCAATTTGTAGATGGTTACCCTAGAGGAGGACAACAATATAAACAAGCGCTTTTTTTAATCCCATATTAACTCATTTAATTTGCACAGATAAAAGCGTGAAAATATTTTGTCTCGCCAGCGGAGGGGCAGCCTCAGACCCGGGCGAGCTTCACTGTGGTGGCTGCAGATCAACCCTGGGTGTGGAGGAGTGAGTGAAAAAACACCCCACGCCAAACCTCGGTGCCGAAAATCAAACCCACATGCGGTGTTAAGTTATTTACACACTGAAAGGCCTCAGCTCTTCGCCGTAGTGCTGCTGCTCTCTGTTCAGTGAACTAAGCTGCTCTAACCTGGCAGCCCTGAGGAAAGGGAATCCCTGCGTGGCATACGGCCACCACCTCCTCCTCTGGCTGGGGGACAGTGGGCATGGCAGGAAGGTCTCAGGGTCCTGGCATGGCCAGGCTGCCAAACCAGCCCTTGGGAAGCGTTGGCAGCCCGCAGAGCAGCCTTGTTACAAACTCATCCTCATCTTGCACAAAGTTCTCTGTGGCTGGGCCATCGCTGGCCCCATGTCTGGCTGTGTCACAAGTCCAAAGTTCCCCGGGACAGCAGCAGTGTTTGCCAGGCCACGTCCCATCGGGAGGAGGTTCCGCTCCATGGAGCCCGGCAGAGAACACAGTAGCTGAACATTAATTAAGTTTATAAGGATGAAAGGGAAGGCGAAGGAAGAAACCAGGAGGAGAGTGGGGGAGCCTGGTATGAGTCCAGCATGAGGAGAGAACCCAACTGCAACCACAGAGCAATGGATGAAACTCACTCCTACCACCAAACCCTGCTTGTCCTCCATGTATTATGCAACTGGAGTTATGAAGCCTCTTTTCAGTCAGGTTATTGCCCTCTTACACCACCAAAAGGTGTAAAGGGCGAAGGGGTAAAGGGGATGACAACCAGGCAAAATTAACTTTGCTTAACATGAAGGCTTCTTTAGAGTTCTTGTAGAGAAGCCTGAGCTTTGGCTGCAGCCCCTGCATCTGCCCCTGCTGCAAGGGTACCAACAAAAGCAGCAAGCTCAGAAAATTCTGGTTGCAAAAGTATTGGATCTGCAAGAAGATGACAAGGCAGGATTGTACCTAAAACACAAGAAATGTGTGGCACTGCCACATTTTCTCACTGCCACTTCCTCTGCTCTGCTACACATGCATTTCTAATGACAGTTCTTAGCTTAATGATTTGGGGGTGGGAGTGTTGAAAAGGCTTTTTATTACTTAACATATATAAGAAAAGAATGTTGTGATGGACGGGGGAGAAAAGAGGGAACCTCCAAAAGCAGATAGTGACTATGAATAAAAGGGACAGCTAAGCAAGATGTATTAGCAAGTCGGTGCTGCAAAAATGTCACTTAATTGAAGAGGAATTCGTGAGAGTACCATCTGGGAACACCTAAAGAGCCCTTCTGCAGGCTGGAACAAGAGCTGGCAAATGCATCCTTGCCTAGACACCTTCCACACGACAGTGCCTTGACTTACAGCGTAGGTGTGCTATAGGAGAATAAATTTGTTTACAACAAATTTGCAGGACTGCCTGCATACAGATAGTTTTCCATATCCTGTTTGAAAAGTATACTTGGTATTCAATGGCTTTTTGGGAGACAATATTCATCAGTCAACTGAAGCACTTTGCTTTGAATCATGAATATCTCTGTAGCCAGTGAATAATTTAAAGTATTGAAGAAGTCTCCCTGCTATAGCCATGTGCTCATTCCCCTCTACAACATATGGATCTGAAAGTCCTGGGACACCAGTTAGCTCAGAACTGAAGTATCAGAATCTCAGAGTGCTTTGGGTTGAAACAGACCTTAAAGACCATCTTGTTCCAAACCTCTACCATGGGCAGGGACACTCTCCACTATTCCACGTTGCTCTAAGACTCTTCCAACCTGGCCTTGAATACTGTCAGGGATGGGGCAGCCACAGATTCTCTGGACATCCTTTGCCAGTGAATCACTTATCAGTGTAACCAGTATCAAATGTGGACAACTCACCTCAGAAATTGACGCAACTCCTCAGGATCCTTCTGCAGGAGGCTGCTGTTACAATCTACTCCCAGGTAGGGAAACTGAGGCATAGATGTTTGAGATCCGACTCTCAGCTCCAGTGGCTGTGAGAGAGGCTTGCCAAGCACCCGAAGCCCACTGCACACATCCGTAACACAGCTCCATCCATAACATCCTTAACCAAGATCCTCCCTGAGAACTTGCCAGGATATCTGTAGCCAAGGCACGATCTAAAGCCAACTCACTGGTGTCCCCAGCCCTGCTTCCGCTATAGATTCCACTCCGACCATTAATCTTTGAAAGAGCAGAATTTGCCACTAATGCAATCGGAAACGATGGTAGGAAAGGCTCCCATTAATGAGAGGCAGCTTAATATAACAACCTACTTCTACATTTCTTATCTGAAAATACCTCCCCTGGAAGCTGTGGATACATTACGGGCTTAAAAAGAATTACTAATGCATTAATTCTTGTCAGATTTGTAGTGTCCTAACCCACAGCTGCCTCACCCACTGACCCAGGGAACATTACTGAGAACGGTATAATTTGGTAAATGAGGGCCTGACTGTGCACTGTGAGCTTGGGCTGTTATTTGGTCCTGGTGTGAGCAAGGGATACCTACTAGTGCACTGAGATTATCCTTAACCAAATTTCTAGGCTCTTTGGGCTGCAAATTAAACACTTTGCTTCCTTGCTATTTTGTGTTTATCCTAATGCAACCTTATGTGTGTGTTTTACATAGTAAAAGCAGTGGTTCTCCTGATCCTGTGAGAATCTGTGTGGGTTGATGTTAAAATGGCAAGTGTGGAGTGGAGTAAAAGTGCAGCCGGGGTTTTGGGATTAAATGCTGACTTTGAGAACACACAGAAAACCATCCCATGTTGTGGGCAAAAATGATGAAGTGGATATTTGCAAACACATTAGCTCTTGGGGAGCCAAGTGGCTGGGGATGAAGGCCCTCTCCTCTGCCCCCCTGCAGAATGCTGTCCTTGCACATGTGTGGATCAGCCTGGCTGCATCCAGGAACTTGCATGGGCTGCTGCTGCCCCAGTCCTGAGCACGGTGCTGCTGCTGCCCATTCCCTAAAATAACCAGCCCGTGCAAGGGAAGACCACAAAAGCCCAACTCCTTCCCCGCCACAAGGCAGAAACAGAGCCTCTTCCATCACAGGAAAGGAGAGAACATCCTGACAAATGCCTGCGTTTTGGACGGGTGACAAAGCTGTCATGGGAAAGAGGCGGCAGCTCCCTTCGGAGACGGGAGGTGGGGAGCGGGATCAGGAAACTTCTGAGCTCTTCTGGCAGCCCAGGTCTGGCGCCGGGCCACCAATCCCCCACTCCTCGCGCTTAAACACAAGCAGATTGACACCGAATGCTCGGTGGCTGCTCCAGGGTTCCTATGGAACAAATTTGGATATTCGGAGACCTGAGCCTGTTGGAGAGGTTGCACAACCCATATTCACCTCCATAATTAGCACAGCCCGGTACCTTGTGGGTTGTTTCTGCACAGACTGAGTCCCAGCTCAGCCTGGAAAGCCACTTCTCCCACCAGCTCCCAGAAGGTCCCTGTAACAGCCTGGAGAAATGCCTCAGGGGCACGCTGCAACACCTACTTACGGCTGCTGGGCTGGCCCTGCGGCATCCTCCTCAGCTTCCTCACACACATCATTCCCCATCCTTTATATAGAGATCAGATGGGAAAGGGGCTCTGTGTGTGTACGCAGGGCTGGGAGGAAATTAAACTGGAACCGGCACAAAGATCTTTGAAAGCACCGTGTATCGTGCCCCGCTCTTGGGTTCTGTAAATCACGGCCTGCCAGATGCTAACCTGATACAGTCCCCACGTGCACCTCCCTGCTCCAGGAGCCTTATTCCATGGGGAAACCATCAACTTCCAGCATTCCCAGGTAATTTGTACATTTGAGTTTCGCTCTCTGTAAAAATTGTCAGGATTTCATCTTACTTAAATTATCCTCTCCTTGGAGCTCCACTGGGTGCCTGGCCTCATGCCTGCTTTTAGGAGTCTCAATACCAAATGTAATCAGGGGAGAGAGGCAAGTACCTCCAGAGAGAAAACGAGAGCACCCAAATCTGTTGCCTGTAAGGAGGTACGTGCTGCTCACAGCTTGCAGAAGCAGTGATTTATATTAAATATATATATTTCACTCTGGCTTACTGATTAAAAAACAAAGCGTTTCTCTTAATTTCTCCATTTTTTAGTGTATTCTTTAATGGTGTAGTTTGATTTATGATGTTAATGGCATTCCTGTGCAAACAGTGGATTTCCAGTTTTTAAATATGCATATGAAAATGTTCTAAGAAGAAATATTTTCCTAAATGTTAACACTACCAAAGTCATCATTACCAGAAAGTAATGAACTTCATATGCAGGATCTCACAGCTATTTTGCTCTTGATAATTTTTAAAATTTTGGCACATTCACATCATGCTACCAGCCTGATGTGCCACTTTCTCCTTCCAATATTTTATCATGTAAGTGAATTTTTGGTGGTGTAAACCTGGAGCATCACAGCGACGAGTTGGGCCCTAACACAAAGAGTACACTGTATACGTTTTTTACTGTATAATTTATTGTTTTTTCCACTGAGCTGGCTATATTGTTTTATCCATTTGCGTGACAGGATGTCTAGGAAACAGCTGAAAGAATTATTTGCAGTGAATTTAAAACACACTGGGTTGGAGAGACGCATACACAAAAATCTTTGTTAAGCAAATAACAGGGTGCTACTCGTGTGTCAGGTTGGGAAACTTAACTCCTTCATTTCATAACCTGCAGGTATGATAGGCACAACAGCTCTGCCTCCTCTGCTGCCTGTGCTCACGTCCCTCACCAAGCTTTTCCTACATCAAACCCAAGCTTTCCCAGGGCACCAGTGGAGAAAAAGCAAACCAGCACCCTTCCCATCCCAAAAATGTTGGAGTTGTCTTCTCCAGCTGCATCTGTCTCTCTCCACTGATGAAAAATACTCCCACGTGACTGGTTGTGACTAAACACCTGACAAAATCAAAGGATTTCACTTTCAGACCTGGAAGATAAATCTCATTAAATTAAAGAAAACAATCTGGTAAGAATGAAACCACAAACTTCATCATTGAGAAAACAAGAAGAAATTAGCCCAAAGCCTGCAAGAAGGCAGGAGTTTCAGAGGGGGCTCCCAAAGCTTGATGTCAGGGCTGCAAATGCAACAGTCCAGTGTAAGCAGGGGTATAAATAATTTGGGTTTTTGTCTGTTGCTGCATGCATCAAATTAGTCCCTATGGGTTTACTGGAGAATTGGGTGGCCTTTTCTTCAAGCCATGGTTGGAAAAGCTAAGGTCACTGAGTCCAACCCCTAATCCAGCACTGCCAGCCCCACCACTAAACCATATCCCTAAACATCACATCCACACATTTTTTTAATCCCTCCATGGCTGATGACTTCACCACTGCCCTGGCAGCGTGTTCCAATGCCCAGTAACTCTTTTTGTTGAGAATTTTCCCCTCATCTCCAATCTAAACCTCCCCTGTGCAACTTGGGGTTTGTTCCATGGGAGCAGAGCCCAATACCCTCCTGTCAGGGAGTCATGGAGAGCAAGAAGGTCTCCCCAGAGCTTCCTCTTCTCCAGGCTGAGGCCCCCTCAGCATGTACCCACATGTCCTGGTCTGAGACACAAGGAAGAAGATCCCACCTGAGCTCACTATGACTGCACAGCACCCAAACTCTGTGCACCAAAGGGATCCCCTCCAGCAATGTCTATTTGGTGGGTGGTAAACACATGCACACATTGGAAGTGCAGGAATGCAGCCATGAACTCAGGGTTGCAGTCTCTACTTGTCTCTAAGAAAGTTTCTCCACAGTTAATTCTAAATCAAATTTGCTTTAATTGCTGCAAGTTACTGGACGGTGATTTTATTTACCATCAATGTCCATTCTGATCTTTCTAAAGCTGAGATCTGTATTTGCGTCACCGAAAAAACATTCAACAATGTTGCTTAAGACTTCAATAATCCTTAGGCTTGTTTCCTTTTAACCCAGAAAAGGAAGTTTTTGAAACAGTACTGCTGGCATTTGCAAAATCCAGGGTTTGCTATCCAGAGTTTGCTATGACTAATTAATCCTCACACATTATTGCCATTTTATGGAAGAGGAAACTGAAACTTGGGGAGGCAAGTCCCCAAATCCCTGAGCAGGTCAGAGGCAAACTGAGACTGGACTTCTTCAAAGCTGATTTCTCAGAGGATGGTGAGGCCTTGGCACAGGTTTCCCCATGCCTGGAAGTGTTCAAGGCCAGGTTGGATGGGGGTTGGAGCAAGCTGGTCTAGTGGAAGGTGTCCCTGCCCATGTCAGGGGGTGGAATGAGGTGGTCTTTAAGGTCCCTTCCAACCCAAACCATTTTGTGATTTCTCCACTAGACGTAGGCTCCACATCTAACTTTATCAAAGACATTTACATTTTGTATCAGCCTCGAGCAGACTTTATATAGTGTAAGAAAAGTCATCCTCACAGCTACTTCATTTCCTCCAGCTATTCATAGCAGCCCTGCAAAAAGTCAACAGTGTATTACACAACAGCGTAGGTTTAGCGGTGAGAGTTTTAACAGGCCGGGCAGTCAATATACATTGCAAGAAAAACATATGCCAGACTCTGAACTATGGAAATCACAGGAGCCAACGGAGCTGTCTTGTGTTACGCTAGCCAGAAATCTAACTCAATAGCTGGTGCAAATATATACTAAATAAAACCCAGCTTTATAAATAGCATCTCTCTCCACTGGCACATACCCACCGGCACTCGGTCACTGAAAGAGAACCGAAAGCACACTCTTGGCATTGTCTTGAAAAAATGTGTCTGCCCAGAAAAACGGGATCCAAATACATCTCTTTCCTAGGGCAGGCAGTTGTGCACAATGTATTAGAGAAGTTCTCTCTGTTTGGTTTATTTTTTTCCTTTTGGCACCTCATTAGTTCTGTGTTTTATATGTCTGTGACTCACAATGTGAACCTGAAGATGCCACTGGGGGTACCTGCTCTATAAATGCAATTAAACTGGCTATAGTAGTTAGGGGACTGAGGTAATTCCCTAAAATTTCTTGTCCAAAGTCCTATCTCGAGTCCAAGTGTTGCCTTTAAGCACCTCCTTGGAACAGGGATACCACTGTTGCTGTGATAGAGGGACCCAGGCTTTGAAGTGAATGCTTCACATGGTCCCAGACCTTAGAGCAGGTCAACATTTCACCATCCTTGGCTTCTAAAACATCTTCTTCCTTCCAAAGGAAATTAAAAAGTTCACTCTCCCAAGATTCCTAATACTCCCTTTACTAACTTGCAGTGATTTAGGAGATTACTCACACGAGCCATATCTATGTTTAGATGGAGAACATCCCAGATTCCCCTTGGGGACTGGAGCAACTTTTAAAACAACTCTTCCAGACCATAAACAAGTTCAGATACAGACACCTAATGTCTACCAGCAGTTTTCCTAAGTTCCACAAGCTCCAAACCAGACATTTTAATACTAGAGTTTATGCCCTACCAGAAGAGATGTGGTTGTGAGATCTACCATACTTCAAAGAGGTGGGGGAAAATATATATGTATAAAAGAAAATATTTAACAACCAGAAGCCATTCCAGATTCTTTCTCCTGCTCTGGCACCCCTCTTCTCAGAAAGACAAGTTGTTCCTTACAACCATCAGAGAAAACAAAGCTTGTTTCCTGAGGATTCGCATCGCATGTCTTCATTCCTCCCAGGACAACATCCTGCACTTCTCCCCCAACTCCTTTATGATTCATCTTCCCCTTCCCTGTGATTCCTCCCTTCCCGACCTCTGGCCCTCACATCTGGAAGAGCGAGAGGCAGCTTGCGTGTGGCTGCTTCCAAGCTCTGCATCTGCTGACTGACGTGCCAGACAGACAAAGGTGAGGCTCACCCTGCCGACATTCCTCCTGGGAGGATGTGGATGGGGGTGCCTCTTCCCTGCTCAGCCACCATTTTTATAAAAAAAGTAAAAAAAAATAGAAACTTGGTGTCTTTGAGAGCTTTTATCTGTCTGTCATACTGGAATGAAATTAGCCAAAGGGATAAATGTTCTGTGAGCATTACCTACGGGCAGAGGGGAGGCTGCAGCAGAAACCAAGCTGAAATGGGAAAGAACTGAGAGGCACAGCTCGGGAAACAACTTCCACCTCACAAATTCTCCCAGTCTCCAAACAACTGGAGTGAGACCCTAGGTCTGAATTTAGTGACACACCCTGGCCCTGCTGCCCACTGGTACCATTTCTTCGGACAAATGGAAAAGCACAGGAACTTTTCTATGCAAACCCCTTGGAGGACACTTCCTTTCCCCAGGAACTGCTGGAATTTGTGTTCATGGCTCAGGGAAAGGTCTGCACCTCAGAACTGAGAAACCAAGGTAAAGGGAGCTGCATTCACCCCAGGTACAGAACAGCCTGGGCTGGTCTTCCACACATCGGCAACTTCAAAATGCCATTCAGTGCCAACCTGACAAGGTTGTGTTTCAACAGGAGTACGTTATCTCTCTTTCCAAGGCTGGGCAGGCCACTTCCTAACAGACAACTCAACAGGCCCTGACAAGTGATTAAATGAGTTAAGGTTGGGGGGGATTTTTTTTTTTTTCTTTTCTGTTCCAACACTTAAAGCCTAACTCTGGAGTCAGTTGAAGCAAAGACCTTGTTCCAGCAGTGCTGATAAGGACAATGCAGCCTCACAGGTGGAGCTTGCAGGCACAGAGCTGGATGGGAAGGCGGATACCACTGCAGAGGCAATGGCTTCGCCTGCACTGATGCCAGCAGCACATTCCTGCTGGAGGAACGGAATCAGTGTGGAAGGAGCCTTTGCCACGCAGTGGGCCGAGGATGGTTTATGGGGATGGCAGAATGGATGTGGTTAAAATTTTAATCAGGATGACATGTGTTGTTGACATATGGCAACGCACCACCATCTGGATTCAGAAACAGACCTGGGTTTTCAAGCTGTTGCTGGCCAAAGCCAAGAACATTGCTGAGGTGCTAGGTCAGACTGGCTGGGAAGGGTTCTGCCAGCAATCCCTCTTGACACAGTATTGCTTTCATTAAAGCAGCCTGCCTGCCTACCCATCTGAGGTGAAAGAGGGAGAAAGTCCATGAAAGGTGGGGGAAACAGCGAGAGAAAAGGTCAGAAAAAGGAGTTAAGCTAATGGACCCACTACCTGCCCTGCTTGGGGCTCTGCAGCGTGCCCAGGTCACTCCGCTGCAGCCACTTGTTTTGTGGTCTTGTAGGGTAAGCAAAGTCCCTGCTCCCGGCGGGAGCCCTGCCGTTCCTGAGGAGTTCCTGCCTGCCTCCCAGCAGCAGGCATCCAGCACAAGAACAAAGCACCTGAGGTTCAACTGCTTAACCATTTCGTCTCCCCTGCAAGCCAAGCGTGGGCTGAGTTACCTTCAGCTGAGAGGGGAAGGAAAGGAGAAAGGGAGAAAAACGTGAGCCACATTTCTGTAGACTGATCTAACAAAGTAACAAAAGAAAATGAAAAAGAAAATTCCGGGACAACTCTTAAAGGCTTAAAATGTCCAAGCAGCTAACATTTTATCCTAGCAGAATTCCTCTGGGCTTAGCTTGGCTTTCCAGGCATAATAAAGTGTTTTACAGTTCTTTTATTTTACCCATCCCATTTCTCTTTTTTATTTGCATAACACTCTCATCAATTAGTGCGTCTCTGTTTGCTCTCAAACAAATCCAGCGCTCATGGCTAAAGCTACAGCGCAAGAGAGACACCCAATAAAGTCCTGCACGTCCCGAGCCGTTGCCTCATTCCTGTCGGATACGCCGTTCCTTTGGAAGGGTTCGACTCTCGGCTCCGCTGACCTGAATGCAAGTGGCAGGGGGGAAAGGAGGGGGGCTCAGCATCTCTGAAATTTGGCTCCAAATCATTATGTTGCCATGAAACGTGCCTTAGCCTAACAAAAGGCATGGACTGGGATACACCAAGCAGCGCAGCACTCGCTGCATAACGACTTAGTCCCCGGACACACCAAGGGAGCAACTCGGAGCCAGCTTGAGATCAACAGCAGAAATTCCTCTTTCCTTCAGTGAAGCCAGGCTT